ATTGTAAATTTTAAATATAAAATATATATCTTAGTAAATATAATTAGGAGTTTGTGTATAGCTAATGAAATCTTTCAAGTTTGATTTCAGAAAAGTTCATCGGACTGTGAATGTTTTGTTGGAATTGATGTCAGATATGTTATTTTCTAATTAATCGGTTTTTTATTGACACCTGTATTAGCTGATATAGATGTAAACAGTAACTGTTACAGTAGAAAAATATATAATTATTGATAAGTGCAAAGCTGAATTGATTTTTTTTTAAATAAATCAATATACAGTATATATATATTTCAGAAATCTTCATATATTTCCTATTAAAAAATATTTGTATGTTCTTGGCAACTGTTTCATGATGTTTTCTGACTGAATCTGAATCACCTAAAAATCATTATATCCATTTTCTCTGCTACATTTACTATTGATTTGTGTTATTAGATGTAATTGCTTCTACTCAATAATTCATCTGATTTTGTCGACTGAATTATTGTTTGCAGAAAGAAAAGAGCTATAAGAAGAAAAAACACAACAGTTATTACTAAATATATATTTGTGATTTATCTAATTATACAAAAAAGAAAGCATATATAGTTGATTAGGAATTTCTATTATTCACTTTATTATTGAACAATAAGTAATCTCCTCTTCCTCCTCCTCCTCTTTCAGCATCATTAGTCCTGCTTTCTGAAAAGTTGCTGCCACTTCTTATTTGTTTTTGTTTTTAGCTAATGTTATTCCTATTAGTAATACTCCCTTTTCTAATCTGGACTTGAAATTTGCTAGAACCGTAGACTTTGGGTGGGATTACTCAATAGTACATGTTTTATGTTGTCTCCATTAGAATGCTGTTCTGTCCTCTTTCCTTCACTGTCTCATATCTAACAAGAACTGATACGTTCAATAAAGACTAGCTCTTACTTCATGGTAGAAAATTGTAATAAGAGTACTAATTGAAAAGTAAACAAATTCTGAATGTCCAAGCAAGGTTGGTGCTGAAAAAAATGTTCTTTATATAAATAACAAGCTGAAAGCAAGTTTATATAAAATTGCTTTTAGAATAGAGATTTGGTTTTTTTTTTATTTATTGAGATTATTTAAGAAGTTTTAAGTTGAAGACTGTTGCAAATTGAGGAATCAAGATTTGAAGGGTCATATGTGGTTGACATCTAAGTAGAGAGGTCACTAGTATAAGAAGATTGTGTAAATAGTTGTAGTATGAACAAAAAACAACTCGGAACTAGTACTACTCATTTATTGTAATGCACATCTGTTTGGACAAAAAAGTGTGCATTATACACGACAAAATACAATAGTTTTAATCTTAGCTGCTTTTCATTTAAAAACTTGCTTATATCTGACTAAACTGAACAATTGACTTATGAAGTTACTATAGTTTGATTAAAATTTTTAATATTTTAAATTAAATTCAAAAATATATAATTTAGTAATAAATTACAATTTTTTTTTAACTTTTAAAATTAATAATAAATTTTTTAAAATTTATTATTGATTAAATGATTGTTCAGCTATTATATACAAATAAATAGCATTTGAATGACCTCACTTTGATATGCAAAAAAATATTAAATGTCATGAAAGCCACATTTGGACTAGTTTCAAGAAATTGATCCAAAATAACATTATCTTAATATTGAATCAATACTTTTTTACAAAATTTAATTTCTCTCTTATTTCTATTTAATACTTACATAAATGTATTTTAAAAAAGTAGTAATAATTGTTTTATTTCTTTATATAGAATGCCATATTATATGCATGATATCAATCCAGATCTTATGGAGCAGATACAT